CACATGCGTCCGCGGTCCCTGTGTACGCTTCTCCGAAACTCCCCCTCTCTCCGAGCGCGCGGCTGTCATGATGTGGGCAGCGCCAGTGATGACCTCATGCCTCAATCACTCCGCCACGTCGCTTGATCCAGCGGACGACACTGCTGCTTTCTCCCGAGGTTGCGCGCATCCGGGACGACCGGGCGGGTCACGTGAGACACGGCCGCCGCGAGCCCCGCCGCAGACGCCGGAGCGTGCGTCGCGGCGGCGGCTCCTCCTGAGCCGGGATTCGCAGCCACTTTCGGACGCTGGGCGCTCTCCGCGGCGGCGCAAAACACCAACTCCGGCTCCCGACAGGTTTGGTAATCTCTGGCCGCCGATCGGCCGCCGGCCGCCGCCGTGGGTTTTGAGCGGCACGTGAGCCGAGATGGAAATGAGAGGCGAGTCCGGTTTTGGGGCCAGTTGGAGGACGCTGGGCAGGAGTCTGTGGTCAGGAGCCTGAGTTGGGGGTTTGAGTTCTGGAGTGTGCGGTCAGGGGTCTGTGCTCAGGAGTTTGTGGTCAGGAATCTGCGCTCAGAAGTCTGTGCTCAGGAGTCTGTGGTCAGGAGTCTGTGCTCAGGAGTCTGTGCTCAGGAGTCTGTGCTCAGATGTCTGTGGTCAGAAGCCTGAGTTGGGGGTTTGAGTTCTGGAGTGTGCGGTCAAGAGTCTGTACTCAGGGGTCTGTGGTCAGGAGTCTGTGCTCAGGAGTCTGTGCTCAGGAGTCTGTGCTCAGATGTCTGTGGTCAGAAGCCTGAGTTGGGGGGTTTGAATTCTGGGGTGTGCGGTTAGGAGTCTGTGCTCAGGAGTCTGTGGTCGGGAGCCCGTGCTCAGAAGTCTGTGCTCAGGAGTCTGTGGTCAGTAAGCGGTGCGACGGCAAGTGCCTCGGTATCGGCAAGTCAAGAGTTAGCTGGGAGTGCAAGCCCACGGCTGTGCATTGAAATCGTACCTGGAATCGCAAAATCCTCTTAAGTAGTTTTCCATGCAGGGTCTTCGCACGTTTTCCGTACTCCGAGACAGAGAAAGCGGCGCCAGAACAGGCATGACTTGTTGAGCGTTTCCATCTCACGGGTCGCTGGAGGCAACAGGCTCAGATTAATTAGACAGGTTCGCGGCGGATCACATCCGCCACAGTTTTCTCCCCGTCCGCGCGAGCGCTAATGACGTGGCCCAGCAGCCGAGTTTCTTTTTGACGCCAGCCGGCGCATGCACAATGCATGCCGTGTGTGTGCAGTCACGAGCCAGCCGGTCCCGCGACTGGCGGTCCCGTGACTGACTGCACACAGGCGCCATGCACGAGGTCCAGGCGCGGTCCGCGGTGACCTTGGTGTAACGGTCGGCTGCAGTCGGCGCGGTGGTTCGGCGGATGGTGAAGGGTTCGTCTCACGCAGTGCAGCGGCACCGCACACACCCGGGGTGTCGTTAGTGACCGTCTTCCTCGGGAGACGCCTGTCCGCCCAGCACCCCACGCGACCGCTGACGTTATTTGTTACGCCTACGTTCCACAAGCGCGCAATAAGCGGCAGACGTCACCCACCGATGGGGAACAGCAGCAGGGATACGCTGTCTCGGATCCCTCGCCCCCCCCCCCCCCTCCCCCACTGCAAGGCTGCATCCGCCTCTGCCACCTGGCCTCTTGTCTCCGTCCTTGAAACCGCCTCTGCCACCTGCTTCCCGTCGCGCGTTCCTGGCAACGCCCCTGCATGCCGGCCACCACGGCCGGACCCCGGGAGTAAACTGCAGCGCCAGGTCAGTGGGTCACGGTGGGTAAATGGCGGATGGACAGCACCTGCCCGTCGCCGGCTCGCCGACGTGCCCTCCATCACTCGGTGCGCGTGGGAGCGCCTTTGATGGCGCACCGCGGCTGTCCTGAGCCGGGGTCGCAGGCCGCCGCGGACGAAGCAGTTACGCTGCTTTGCTGAGAGACCCCTGGCTCACGCCGTACGCAGGCGTTTTACGACCGAACTGGTGTGTTGGGGGGGGGGGGGGGGGGGCGTAAGCGCAGTGTGTTCCGTGTGAGAGTTGGAGAGGCGTGAACCGGGGCTTTCACAGCCTGGGAAAGACAGCCGGTCATTGTTTTTAGGCACTGGTAGTGGTGGCGGTTGCACACGTTGTCAGAACTTGTTTCTTATCTCGACATTTCATTTCGTGTGGTTTCCGTGGGAGGATGCCGGGGATGTGGGACACGTTTCAGTGGAGCTGTGGGCCGCTGTTCTCCCTGCAGTTGCTGCCACCTGGATGATAGGAATGACTCGTCGCGGATCAGAAAGACGGATGGACATGCTTATATCGTTAGTTTGGGCGTACTTAGGCGATGGAAACTGGAAATAATGTCTTGTTATATGAGTTCAACAAAGGCGTTTGGGGAGGGGGGGGGGGTCCACTGTTTGAAATGAGTACAGAGATTTAGAGACCGATCCTTTGATGCAGGTTCTCGATTAAATTGGCATTTCTTCTACCTTGACCATCTTCCGATTAAACTGATCTCAGTCGATAAATACGGATTTCACGGCTGCAGAAATGAAGGATCCATGTTACAACTCTGCACAATAGCTTTAAATATCTCCGGTCACCGCCTCTCGCTCCATTGTGGACCGATCGGCAGCGTGTCAGAGTTCAGCAGCACAACAAGGCCAACAGGTCCTGCTATCTGCAGCGGGCGGCCGGCCTGCGCGGCCGAAGGTCTCCCGGAGCGCTTCCCAGTGGCCTGAGCGACATTCACCGGCTCGCCTCGCTTCGCCGGCGCCCGTCGGCTCGGCTCGCCTCTCTGGCGTCCTGCCGAGCGGAACCGGCAGGCCTTCGACGGCGGCCGCCGCGGGCGTGGGCGTGGGAAATGGGGGAAAGGTAGTCCGAAGGAGGACGGGAGTGGGGCGTGCACCGAAGGGAGAGGGGCGGAGAGGGCAGAGGACCGAGGCGGCGAGAGCGGTAGCGCGTTTCAGTGGAGCGTGTTTGCGCTTAGAGCACCCAGGCGATTTGCGCGCGGATATTTCATGTGTAGGTAATGCACCGCTCTGCAAGGCTTGCTAGCGTGCAGTCAAAGCCGCACGATACTCCGAGAGTGCGTCGGAAAAATGTTGGCAGGCTCACTCACAATGCGGTATCAAAGAAAACAGAAGAACATGAGCAGGAGGGGGCCGGTGTCACCACCTCTACTTTTCGCAATGGTTTGAAATGATAGTGCATGACCTTATGACGATGCATATTATTGACTGTGAAACTCAATTCAGTCTCCACGGTCTTTGACGCCATTACGAATTGACAAAATTGACAGGATGATGCATCGGAAATTAAGTATCGCCACAGTGCCGGCTTCAGGCTACAGGGGGCCACACTTCCTCACCCAAGGAAGACCTTGACCGTGGAGGGCCGCATCGTGTTTGCAAACCCACTCCAGACGTTAGGCTGGCTGCCTCTGCGGGCTGGGGAAAGATACTGGACCCGGAATTCGGCGGCACCGGGTACGAATCCCAGAGCGGGTGCATTGCTTGGACCAACTAACACGGAAAGGTGTGCTGGCATCTGTCCAACGAGGGTCGACCCAGGTTCAGAGCGGTCGTACCACAGTATCGCGCGGCACGTAACGCTTCTGCAGTCCTCTCTGGCGAAAGGGCAGAGGCAAAATTATCCTTTGAACTGAATAGCACAACCTGGGTGGTGTGTTCAGGGTGTGCGCAACAAGTTATTCTTAGCAGATACTCTGAACATAAAGACACCCACGCAAACCATTTGGAATAACTTTATGAATAAATGCCTCGGACGTCTGAGTGCCCGCCTGCTTAGCACAACGTCCGCATGCAAACTGTACATAGAATATTTCCAGTGTCGCTACAGGATGATGCATTCTCCCTACAAGAGGGAAAGTCAGCGAAATGCCGCATCGTACCTTTAAACCCACACCAAGCATCTTAGCAATGGAGTGGCAGGTGAGTCCAGTCTAGCGCTATTACGCAAGCAGCGTTGCTTAAAGGGACCAAACCATCTTACGTATTCATTCCCAAGCCTCAGTCCACTTGACCTCACTGGCCTTTCACTTTCGTCTGCAGCCGGTAAACACGAAAGGTAGCCGTTACTGAAAATACAATAGAGGCAACACGAAGCGGCTGGAATCCCGGGTGCCCGGCGACCCCCTGTGAGCCCCTATCGCCCGTCGTCAGGAAAAACCAACAAGGGCGGCGGCAGGCGCAAAAACGGCAGACGATGAAGCACATCACCTCTTTTCAAGAAACGCCCCGTGGCACACGAAAAACCTGCAAAAGCTGCGGAAGACGGGGCTGGGAGACGGGAAGGGAAGGGACGAGCCGCCGCCCTCGCGCTCCTTGATCCGCCGCCTCTGCACCCCGGGGTCCGCCGTCCCTGGAGCGAGCGCCCGCGCGGACCGGTTTTTGTGCGGCCGTGGCCCACGCCTCCGCGCGAACGGAATACATTACACACACATTCCTGCCAGCGCAAACGGCCGGGAGATGGCGAACGTCGTGAATAAGTGACCGGCTCTGGAAATCGGGTAGGGCCAGGACCGGTGTCAGAGCTGTGATTACAGCACGTCCCGACGCGCGGCTGGACCAGAACTGTTCCAAGCCGTCCTCGCAACTTATGAATAGAAGTTGTAATGCAGCATGATCCTAGCAGACGAAGCCCATGCGACGCAAAAGGTGAAAAACTCAATGCTGGTTAGCTTTTGTAAGCCTACCGAGGAAGAGAAATTGCGTCAGTGTTTTCATTCAGTTGAAAAAGGATAGCATAGGAATGCCTCCTGTTAAGGTCATCGAGTTAGAACATTGACAGCGCTTCATTCTGCAGTATATTCTGATATCAAGGTCGAGCTTTCCCCATACCTCAAACACACGCCATTCAACAGCGCTGTCCTGAAGCACACGACATACTTCTCCGCGGGGACTGCAACGGCAGCAAGACGCATAGCACCGCCGAGGGAGACTGCAGCAGTGGCACGACACGAACACGAGCCGCGGAGGGGTCAGACGACTCCACTATCGTCCTCCCATCGGGACTGCGGGCTCACAGAGCTGGTCAGTCGCGCACGGCCCGTCTGTCAGGCTGAGTCACTGCCCCGCTGCCCGACGACAAAGCCGCGCCTGGCGGTCGCCGGGCGCCTCCGCCCAGCGCCGGGCCGGGCGGGGGCGTCAAGATTCACTGGCGAGATAACACACGCACGTCTCCGACTTCGATGCGTCAGCACAGACACGTGCAAGGCGACGAGCGATCAGCTGCCGACGCCTTGGCGTTTGCAAGGTTCCAGCCTCAGGCTGAGAGCTCTCGGTCCCCCCAAACTGCGCGAACCACTCCACACACCCTTGTCCCGCTCCCTCGCGCTCACGACCGCCTCAGCGAGGCGTGCTGCATGCGGGGGCCGCGCCGCTCGGCCTCTCCGCGCCCCAGGTCCAGGTCAGACATGAGCTGCTCGACCTCCCGGCTCTTGCGCGCCGCCTCCCGCGAGCCCGGCCGGCTGTCGCTGCCCTCGGGCGTCAGCAGCGAGCCGTGTGAGCGCGAGCGCTGCTCCTGCTGTATGGAGAAGCCGAACGCGCGCTCGTTGAGGTGGCGCCGGCGTCCGTGCGGGCCGGCGTCCGGTGGGCTGGGCTCGCCGGAGCGAGGCGAGCGCCGCGCGCCGCGGTGTCGGTCCAGCGTGGCGTACTGCGGCACCGACGGCACCGGCGGCTCGGCGTAGCCCGCGTAAGGCGGGCTGAAGGCGCGCTCGTCGCCCGGCCGCGGCCCCGCGCGGCTCACGCGCGGCAGGCTCATTGATCCGGGCCCGTAGCCGGGCGGCAGCGGCGGCAGCGGCAGCCGCTGCAGCGGCGGCGGGGGCAGCGGCTGCGCCAGCTGGCGCGGCCGGCGGCCGGGCGGCGCGCGGCCGGCCGGCGAGCGGCTGGCGCGGCCCTCGGCTCGGCTGGTCGTGCGCGACGCCGTCACCTCACCGGCTGGCCAGTCAGCGAGCAGGGCACGCTCGCGCCACGCACCGCTCGGGCTGCCTGACAGGCTGGCGCTGCGGCCCGACTCGTGCCCCTCGGCGTCGCGCCGCCGGCGCCGGCGCTCCGGCTCAGCCGGCGGGGGCGGCGCGGCCGGCATCACGCGCTGTCGCGGCCGCGACGACCGTGAGCGCGCCGTGCCGTACAGCGAGCCCGGCGGGTCGGGCTCGGCGGCTGGCTCCGGCCTCTCGCCGCTCCACACCTTGTGGTTGGGCAGGCCGTTGGGCAGACCGTTGGGCATGCCGCCGCCGTCGCCGACGTCGATGACAAGCGCCTGGTGCGAGTCGGGCCGCTCGTCGGTCGCGTCGTCGGCGCGCTCCTCCAGGTCGAGACGCGCCTCCTCCTCGGACCACTCGCGCTGCGGCGCCGGGCCGTCGGTCGGCGTCGGTCCGTAAATGGCGCCATACAGTCCTCCGTCCAGCTGGCGCACCTGCACTGCGTCCGCGTACACGTGGAAGCAGCAGCGCACCAGCGCGTTGGCCGGCGCCTCGCGGCGGCACATGAACACGTGGCACTCGAGCACCTTGAGGCCGGTGGTGCGGCGGAGGATGGCAGCGAAGAGGGGCGGATGCGCGATGTTGGGGCTGCGTGCGAACGGCGCATCCAGCGGCAGGAACCGAGCCACGCGCTGCCGCTGTCCGCCGCCGGCCGGCACCAGAACGTGCCGCACCGCCGCGCAGTAGTGCAGTGCTTCGATCGGGAAGAACCGGGTCACCTTCTTCTGCTGCTCGTCAACATTCTCCAGCAGGAGGCCGTTGCTCCAGACGCTGAGCCATGAGTCGATGCCCTTGGCGCCGGCCAAGCCCTCGCTGGGATACAGCTGACCGAGGGGACCCTGGATGCCCTGGAGGCCGTCCTTGGAGGCGTGCGGCACGGCCGAGCCCAGGTACAGCACGCGGCACCGGCAGATGGGCGTCGCCTCCTCCGGCGAGGCCCGGCGCCGCTGCTGTGCCATCATCGTCGGCGGTTGAGCGGCGGCCACGCCCGGTCGCCGGGGTCGGGTCGCCGCTGGTGCTGCACCCCGCCCGAGGGGTGTCTCACTGCCACCTCGCGTCGCGCTCTAACGGACAGCCCACTGAATGGCGCACTTGCGCGCGGCGTCCGCAACAGGACCCCTCTCGGACCGCAACTCACCACTGCGTCAGGCGCGCCCGGCCGACGCGCGGATATCCAGCGCATGCGCGCCAGCGCCCGGCCAAGCCCGCCTGCCGGCACGTCAGCCAATCAAGTGACGGCAGACAGAGTCCGGCGAATCACCGCCCCGCTGACAGTGTGTTTCTGCTGGCGTCGCGAAGAATGCGCAGGACAGCTGTACGCTGGAGCCGGGCTGGTCCGCAACAGATCTCGAGGATGGGGAGTCGTGGACGTCTCGGATAACATCTGCCCCGTGGGAGAAACGAGCGGGCCAGGGTGACCGATCGGCACAGGCTCGCCGTCACGTCGCCGGTGTGTCGCCAGACAGCCGCATCAGGATGTTTAGTGTTGACCGACTGGCAGAGGGCGGCGGCGTTCGGTGTTTGGCTTTGCACCGAGAATGGCACAGGCTCACTGGGAATACATTGGTTGGCACGGCATTCACCGCACCAGCGCCGGATGCGTGGGTTCTTGTGGCCACAATGCCCATTCTCTCCGCCCGTGCCGTGGCAGTGCGACGTCACATTTCCCTGCTGACTCCGTCCTGACGTGACTCGACCCTGACCCGGCATTAATCCGAGGTGGCCTGACCACCCGGCCTAACCGCGGATCGCAGGCGAAGACGACACCCCATCACGCCTTTCTCCAGACGTGGGCAGATGAGGTGCGGCGTTGAAGGAGTGGTCATGTCTCGCAGCCCGTCGACGCCTGGCGGTATGGACTGGAGACGCCCCATAGTCCGATATAAACCAGTCTGGTCAGCGAGCTGGGCTTCACAGCCAACCATCGCTCTATTTCAGCCGCCTCGTAAAGGGGGTGCACGCGTATAGGCCACGGAGCATGCTCACTCAGGAAACGAGTACGAGCGCACACGCTCGCTCACGAAAACATGGTGCCGGGAAAACAGAGAGCTTCAGCAATGCCGCACCTGATGGCCACAGTGCATTATTCAAACCCCTTGAAGACTCCAAGTCGACTTTTGTATCTTTTTTAAGGATGTGTTCCGCACCATACTGGTGCGGAACACATCCTTGGAAAGAATTAAAGAGGCACAAGTAAAAGAAGCTGGCTGAACTGTCGTGTTCCACGGAGTTAAACTTCAGGTTAACAATCCATCAGTCAATGAAGAGTCTTCGCAGAGCGAGAATGTCTAGCCAAAATGTTTTGGAAAGTGCATGCACTCAGGTACACAAAACCTGGGTTGTGACCCGCACCATGCAGAGTGATGGAGCCTTATCGCAAGAAGCATGTCACGCGACCACCGTCCAACTCAGACGACTTGGGCGATGTCCACCACTCAGGCGCTATCCCGTCTACACGTCCATGACAGCTGCCGGTCCTCACGTGCAGCCACCGGTCCTCACGCGCAGCCACCGGTCCTCACGCGCAGCCACCGGTTATCATCGCGCAGCCACCGGTTCTCATCACACAGCCACTATTCCTTTCATTTATTACTTTATTATTTATATTATGTATGTATGTATACATTATTATATTATTATTTCATTTATTACTTTATTATTCCTAAGCCTCTACTACCTAAAAGCTTTCAGCACACAGTCCCTGTCACGCCCACATATTTATATCTATACGATGACACTAAACAAGCAGATCCGGTCTACCCCATAGGGAAGACCACGTCTGCTTAACACGATGGGAGGCTGTTCCGAGCGAGACAGCGGACCGAGCGAATCTTATTGTCAACTATGCGAGAATGTCAGCACTCCATCGGCCGCACCCGCCTCGGCGCGGCCCGGTCAGTCACGCTTTTGACGGGTTTATATCTTCGCGGCCTCTGGTCACAGCGCCATGAAATTCTTCATCACATATCGCGCAACTTCTTAAATCTTGTCTCCTTCAAAAGTGTGGTATTCGCGGGGAACCTAAATGCAACCTGTATGAACAGGCGACGTATATCTGCGGGAATGCAACAGATCGTGGGTACTTCACGTCCGCGTCTGATTAAAGGGAATGTTTCGCATTTAAAGATATTGGATCAATGCACTGGATACGATGAAACAAGCTCACTCATAGCTATTGGTATGCTTTTAAATTAAAAAGACTAATCCAAGCAACGCAGTTTCCCTGTTGAGTAAACATGCTCATCGATACGGACGGCTGTTATATCTGGAAATCGTGCTCACGAGCACCAGATATGAACGGCTCGATCATTACACTTTTCTTGGTCTTCGTCGCCGCATGGTTTATGAAGCGGTAGGATTTTAAGGACGTTTTTGTAGCGTCATTAATATCAAGGTGACCTTGTACATGCTTTCCTCGGAAGTCTCCACACGCTCGTGGGCTCGTAGCTCCGAAACTAGACGGGTTTAGGTGTAAAAAAGGGGAGGCAGGTCTTTGCACTGCACCAAATGATCCTCAACATGGATTTGATTCTGACGGAAGAGAAAATGGACAATTGGAGTAGATTTATGTGGTGCGATGTGTGCCCACTGAACCATGCTCAAGCCATGGATCCACCTGTTTTCGGGGAAAGGGATAAGGGTTATGTCAGATCTTGGTAACCAGAGCTGATGGAAACATAGAACGAGCAGTAAGACGTAGGTGAGCGTACATTTTACCAATTATTATGTGACCTAGGCAATGTCCGACCCACGTGTGAGCCGGTACAAATAAACCGACGAGCCGTCAATATCACATTTTTCGCAACCGGCCTGAAATTCAGCGCACTGCGGCCTAAACTAATACATTAAACCCTACACACTACATATCTGCAAAAAAAACATTTTTGGAACAATATCTAGCTAAAACAATAACCTTTTTCAAAACCTCCGTCGTTTACCAGCAACATAAACTATTCACGTCTTCTGTAAAACTGCCGTGTCTTGGGAAGCTCAAAGTTAGTCAAGATCTCATCCATAGATGGGTGGTGCGTGACGCGACCACTTACCTGCTTGGGCTGCCGAGATTTAGCATAATCCTTGAAAACGCCCCCGAAAACGTACGGACCCGACTCTGTTGTCAACACAGTCGCCCGTTCTCTCCTCCATCAACGAACAGGTGACGGAAGATTCTTGGGTCACCGGTCAGTGAGATCTGAGCCCGTTCGGCCAGTGTTAAGCCGCTTCTCGGCATTGGGAAGCTTTTCGTTTATCATGTAGATTAAGTGAAGAGGGTCGTACTTTCATGAATCACGGAATGAGTGAGTCATGAGACACGGAATCAACTAAAACATATCTAGATGCCATCTGATGTCCCTTATTGTTGGTGACCGGACATTGTCTGACAGTGTCGCATATCGTTCGGTGTTCGGCGACCACCATAGATCAGAGCTGTCGGTGCCGGGCGGTCCCCACAGGCGAGGGTTATCGGTGTCGGGTGACCCCCAGAGGTCAGAGCTACGATGCCGGGTGACCACCAGAGGTCAGAGCTGTCGGTGCCGGATGACCATCAGAGGTCAGAGCTGTCGGCGCCGGGCGACCTCCAGAGGTCAGAGCTATCAGTGCCTCACGATAGTCCTACGTCTATAGACGTGATTTGGTATGTTCTGCACTTTGAGCGACTTAAACAAAACTCAAAGAGGTCAGGATTGCCCAGGTCGCCTGGTTTCGTGTCGAGGTCAACAGGATATAATGCATCGGATCATCCACTGGTGGCTTCATGTCAACCATCAGGTCATCTTCTTATTTATGGGGAAAATAGCTTGTTTGGCTTCATTCCTTGAAGCCTGCGACACCATTTGGCTCACCATTCGTAGGATGTCTAGAAATGTGTCACTTTTACGGGCTCGGGCAGGGTCATTAAACGAAGCGCTACATTAAGTTACCTAACTTGACCTCATTTCTGGGTCGGTTACCTAACTTCTTGGATCTTAAAACTCTGATGGAACTGATGTGCGGATTAGTTAAGGATTAGTTAAAAGTGGTTTAACATGTCAGTACACTTCGCTAACATAACTGATATGGTAAAATCGGCGCTGCGAAAATCGATTTGGTGTTTGAAGCAGTTAGTATCAAGTCACGCTGAACACACTTGTCGCTTATTCTGCTAATCCTGATCCGCGGCTAGTCCTGTCATCCTGTGATCTTGAGTTTTTATATAACATCACTCTCAGTGCAGGCCAATGTTAAATATCGATATCACTGTTTTTATCAAGCGGAGTTTCTTCATTTGTACGGCTTGCTCCTTTGGTTTTTGGTGGCATCACCCATACTGGCCACTTCTATGTTTCTTGTAATTTTCTCATGTTACGTGCCCTTTTGTTGCCCTTGTCGTGCATAAGTAGGAGCAAAGGCTCCTCATATCACCGCAATTAAATCATGAACATCCAGCCGATTTCTCGCCGACGCGAACGGCGATCACGAGATCCCCAAAATCCAACTGGCATTAAAGCAAAAGGCGCCGTGATTGACCTCATAATTTAGACCAATGTCCAGCATGGTTTTTGAAGTTGTGTGCTCACACCTTGCGCCTGCCATTGTTGATGGCATCTGGCTTCTTTGCCTTCCTTTTGTTCTGAAGACGTTTATTGTACGCAGCAATTACCAGTCTTGTAAAAAAACGCCATTGGGAAATTATACATCCATCAACAGTAATCTTCCTTGTTCGGAGTAATTATATATGTCACAGCTATTGGTGTCCGTCGGCCCCTTTGCCCATTGTATTGATTCGCAGATAATTGTTATTCAGGCTATTCCCTGCCGTAAACGGACCAGTTGGTAAATACTCCAAATAGCGGAGAAAGCATTGGCTGACCGACGATATACCAGGTTTTACGAAAAGGATGCTTTCGTCATGACATGTTGGGCAGCAAACGCACCTGTCTGGGATTTCGCAACAAACATTCACACATTCGCATCGTCTCATGCGTGCTTGTACCTCAGTCATATATGAAGGAGGCCTGAAGCGTAGTCACTACACACAGTCTGAAGCTGTGTGCAACGATCGGACCCCATTAGTTACGGGCTGGACATTACAGCCATGTGCCATGAAAACCTCGTAATTTGTCTCCAGTATATGACAAT